TCAGTCAAAAGGTGCATGTTTCTATCACGCGGTTTTCATAACCTTTCAGTTTAACACAGAGCCTAGGCTAGAAGAAGTCTCAGATATGAATGCATTTGGAATATATCTATCTGAGCTGATAAATACTTTTACCAATTATCTCAGTTTTAGGATTTTGAATCTCCTACAAATTAAATACCTTTTTAGGACAGCACGTGATGAGCACTACTAGCTGACACATTTCCTTAAAACAATCTCTTAAGATGCAAAGTATTAGCCAGTTAGTTTCAGTGCTTGCAACAGTTTTGTAAATATCTGTAGCTATACTTTAAAAAGTAAGTTCTGTTTTAGTATTATTGTTTTAGAGCTCTGATTCGTGTCCTTGCCTTCTGCAGCTTATTTTAATCACTTTTCTGTTCTTCACTGTCAAGATCTGCTTTTTCTTATCATTTGCATCAACGAAGTCAAGGAGAAGAAAGAAGGTTATGTAATGTTGGTGGGCATTACACTACATAAACACTAACGAGGTAACCTGTACCAGCTGTATTTCACAGGTATAGACAGTGATCATGATGAGCCCTGGAAACACTGAAAGCAGCTCCTTTGAACCCAGATGCAGCTACCAGAGCTTAATGAGCAGAAAATGGCTCAGACCTGTGGGTTCTGCCCCACTCATACAGTATATGTACATCTCATGCACATTTGATCAGCCTAGATTTTTTTATCGGTAGCATTTGTTGGGGCTTAATGAATTTTTGCCATTATTTCTAAACCCCTTTCCACTTTATATAACCGAGTGGACAACATTACTGACTTAGGTCTTTTACTGTTTCTGAACCAAAGCAAACAGTTTATATGAATGCAGAGGAAAGGGGGGCCCCTATGAATACCAACAAATTGTTTCAAAGAACAAACATTCCAGAGTCTTAGCAGCAGACAACCAGACCAAGTATTCCATAGTCTTGGATAAAAGTATCTGGGGGGTTACTGCATGCAGGGCTATTCTGTGAAGTACACATTCAAGGCATCCAGAGCATCAACCAAATTGCTCTCAATTTCTGAAAAAGTTAAAAGCTCAGCTTTTCTGTATCCTTACGCATTTCTGTAGCCTTTGAAGAACCTTTCACTGTAGCACTATCCTAGCAAGGAATAGGGGCAGGCTTTGTCTCCTGTTCCCTTCACACTCTCTGGCCAGCCAGAACTCTGGAGACAGGTCTGAAGCTTAGAGCGCTGATGCTGCTGGTACATGGATCATAACAAAAATGGCAAAACCCAAGATTGTCAGGTGGAGAGGAGTCTAGAAGGAGGTGCCTAACATTACAAATCACTTCCATTCTTCCGACCTTTTCTGTCAAACACCTGTGATACTACCGAAATATTTTAGAAGCAGGGAGATAGGTTGTGCATTAAAAAAAAAAAAATTCTTACTGCAGGGTACCCTGCAGGTAGGAGAAGCAGCATCATCTGGACAATAATATTATTCCAAGTGTAGTAACATGCATAGCTTTGAGACTGTACTTGAACTGCACCTAATTCGTAATTTCAGTAAAGAAAATTTGCTACTGACAGTAGTCAGAGAGCAGGATATCGTTACTGTTTCTTCGGTTAATATTCATGCAAAACCAACTTTGTGTTCAAATGGAAAGCAGGCTAAGGAAGAATGGCAACATCTCAGAAATCATGGATATATTTCTTTTTTCTTCTTTCAGCTACATGAAATTTATTCCATTTTCCAATTTTAAAAAAAATGAGAAGGTCCCCTTTTCTTATAGAATAAGAATTTATTTTCTAGGATGCTAAAATAGTATATCTGCTTCTACAATTCTGCCTCTCATCTCCTACATTTACAATAGAGCACTTCCAATTCTGAAACTTAACCACAGATTTACCAAATTCAGCAGGCATTTATATTGAGAAAAATCACACAACTTGTGTTGTATGCACCAACTGTATGATTAAGAAAAGTCATTCTGATGAAAACTTATAGAACAGTTTACTTATTGAAATAAAATAAAGGTTAACTTGTCTAAGAGTTTGATGTTTTCACATCAATTAAAGAAGAACTAAAACCAAGTAAAATGGATGTGTAAGATTTCAAATGTGTGGCATTTCCCCTAAGAACCATTAGTCACCTTGGCACCTTCCTCTCCAGATGCCAATGGTATTACTTAACGGTAACTGAACATGATCAAACCTATTTGCCCTCTGTTATTAAGCACACATTAGCAGGCATGAAGCCATGTTGTGGGTTTTTTCTCTTTTAAAGTAACTGTCTGCCTCAGACAATTTTTTCCTAAGCATCACTTTTTGAATTATTGTGTAAAAGACAGATGTGCTCTGAGACATCAAAGGCCAGGATTGTAACAGACCAGTCATGAAACAGAAGACAGACCAGCCGTGCCCACAAGATGCATGGAAATCAAAACTGTCCTACCATCTTCAGAGGAAAAGGCATCTACAGAAACCAAGATGACAAGAAGTGCCACAGGGGGTAGAGGGTAGGGTGAAATTATGTCTGAGGGCCAGGCCTAGAAGACTTCATGAGGTTATCATTAAAAAATATGGTGATGGAATCCAAATTATTGCAAATTTTAATATACTGTTTATTATATAAATAAAAGAAAGTTAAGTCCAAGCAATGTAATGGATCACGGTTGCACCCAGTTGCTTGGAGAACAAAACTTGCACAGAGATAAAACAGGGATGTCTGAAAGACCTCCCTGGCCTCCTTTTACACATTGATGCAATCAACTGATACTATAAGGTAGGCAGAGACTAACCTGTGGAAGAGATGCAGAGTTCCATTGGAGTAGAACTGGGAACAAGCAGCAGAAGAGGTATGTCTGGTCGTTCTTTTTTAGTTGCTAGTTCCTCTTCATTACTTGTGTGTGTTTGTTTCTTACAGAGAAGTTTGTAATGACATTGCTAAGTGTTTCTTATTTTACAGTATTGGGAAGGAGTTTCAATAATTTTCTAGTTATGATAAACTGAGGTGCTTGTGTTATGTGGATCATACATGAAGAGTAATGAGACTTGTGAAGAGTAATTGCTCTTGTGCAACTGACTGAGAGTAGTCTTATTAGATGGAGAAGGATTATCACACTTTTTGTTCAAAAAGCAGATGCCAAGCCAACCTAAGAGTAATAACGGAGTATTTCAGCTTTAAAATAGACTTCATTAAGGACAAATAGATTCACTTACAGATTTTAAAGACACGAGGAACAAATGTCCTGTACTGAACTTCTGCTGAGAGCTCTTATCTGTGTGTTCGGACTGTTCTCGGTAAGCTTTCTGTCTGAATAAGGTTTATGAAATAGGTGAAGAGGTAGTGAAGTTGCTCTGTGTTGGCTGGAAACATGTCTTGCCTGAGAAGTCCTTCAGATGACCAATACTTTGTTATGAGCATTCTCTTCCTAAGCTACCTGGTTTTTATATCAGTGGTGGAGGACTTAAACTGAAAAGGCTGAAAGTGAGAAGACAGTAAGTGAGATCCCCCCAGAATTTGTCTAAAAGGAAATTAGAAGATCAGGAAAAGAAAACAAACTTCAACTAAAGGAAAGCACTAACAAATATGCAAGTCCTTTTAGAGCTAACAGAAGTTAGTCCAATGCATAGCTCCTAGTTGCTCTACCAGTGATCTTTGCTTCAAACTCTGGCTCAAGATAAATCATTATTTCATCTGCTTGTTCAATAGATGACTAACTAATGATTTGTATTACAGGAACCATTGTCTGAGGCACTAACAGACAAAAAAAATTCTTCAGCAGCAGTTTACATTAGATATTAAATTTGCTGATAGACATGCTTTAAGTCCTATTCCTGAATTACAAGAGTATATAACCTTCATGAAGGGACTATAAAGAAGGCATTAGGTATCTGGAAGAGCAGAAGAACACAGGTCAAAGCAAGAGTAGCAGTGATGGACATAAGCAGAAAGAACAGGAAAGAAGGTGGCTTGTAGCAACTTAGAAAATACAGAATTAAGTTCTGGAGCAGAATTTAGAGATAACAGACAAGCAGGGGAGAATCAAACAGAACCATGGCTGGAAAATTTGACCAAATGAGAAAAAAACCCCCACTTACAGCCAATTTGGTTTTACAGGGAGAAGGGGAGAAGAAATTACTAGTGATGCAGCCTTCTACTCTCACTTTCATGTCAGAGAAGCTGTGAGGAAGTAAATCCCAAGTCTACACTTAAGGTACATAGCATCTTGGTTTTGAATCCTGTAAATTCTGTTCTATTAAATAAAATGAAGCCTTTGTATTGGTTTCCACAATACGGTGCATAAAAAGTTAACACAAATATCTATCCACAAAACCTGCAAACACTTCAGCAGATTTAGACTTCAGCGGTATTTCTGAAAGCTGCTTAATCCAGTCAGTAACTCTAGCCCTTGCAAAAGTAAATAAAACACTTGCATTGAGAAGCAAAAATTTAAGTACGCATCTCTCTCACTCATGACTTTATCTACTTTTTCTTAGGACAATCATCCATGAGAGCACATTCCAGGTAGAATCATTCAAGTTGTGTTCAAGTGTCCAGGAATTCCTGTGTAGTTATGAAAGCTGCCACCAAATGAGGGGCTTTTGTATCTAGCAGCCACAAGCAATTCCCAGTCAGGCAGAAGCACTCCAGCATGGATATCAGATCAAGTCTTCTGTAACCATCTGACAGTAACATTTAATGTGACAGAGTTGCTATCAAAATACAACTTTATTGATGAAACACTGATTAAAAGACCAACTAAACATAGGACAAAGATGTTTCAAAGACTGCAGTGTGAACTAGCTATTAAACACATTTTTAAGGAACTATACAAAAAGGGGAGGGGGCAGTTATAACTACCAACTTTCTCTGGCAAACTGTTCAGACACAGACTAGTTCATGTAGCAGGCTTAGGAGGTTATCTATGCATTGATGATATCAACATTCTTTAGCAAGTCCCGTGTGAAGTACTGCAGAAACGGCTTCAATCACTGTTCATTCTTACATTTGAAAATAAAAGAAGTTAACAACAAATTCCTCTCTATAATACAAAATGGATTTGTCCTCTGTGAAATTACAGGAAGTTCTCCAAGAGGAAAGTTTCTCCCAGTGCAGCTAAGGATTCACAAAGTCGTTCTTGGAAACAGCTGTCAAACATGTCACTTATTTCCTCTCTTAACTCCCTCAGCAGAGGCACTGTGGACTTACCATCTGCATTCAGAATTCTCCCAAAAAGTTTACTCCAGAAATCACTGTCAACAGTCCTAAAACAAACAGAGCAGTTTTCAGTGAAACAGTATGCATACACGACATGCCTGTCAAGATTTCCATTTATATTCAGCACTAAACGCCCTGGGAGAACCAAGTCTGAAATTATTATTTCACTCACATAAGTAAGTGTAAAGGAAAACTAGGAATGTATTGTTAGTTCATATGTGTGGGCCCCTTTCTCTTTCTCTAGTAGTCTTCTGGACAGGCTGTTCCACAGGTCTATCAAAACTACTATTTTTACAGTTACCTCTTCTAGTGTACCTGACTGCTATCACCATTCACACTGAGCCACGGCACTTCTTAATTAAAGGAGTTATCAAGAACTTTCTTTGAACCAACAAAGTTGGCAGATTCCTTTCATGAACAAGGGGTAGAGGTAAATCTTATTTCCCCATTTGCAAGTTAAGTTCACAGATCAATATTAAAGGAAAGCTGCAAGAGAAATACAAAAGAATGAGTGCTTTACAGCCCGTTTTACTTACTTTTTTTTCCCCTGCCTTCCATCTGCTAGAGTTCTCATATAGATAACATTTCAAAGACAATTAATAGTAATAAATCCCCTCTCTCACAGATATACCCACACCACATGAATAAAAAGGTTAAGTGACTCATTAAAGTCTCAGAAACTGATTATCAGAGCTAACCCTTTGTTCTTCAGCCTTGCACTGAAGTCCATAGACCACACTGCTTCTGACTACTGAAGCACTTTCCTCCCTCAAGCTAGGAGTTACATTGGCTTTTGAACAAATTATCTACCTCCGCTTTACGTGACTCATAAAACAGCAGCAGCCATAAGTCTCAGAAGGAATCTGTCCCTTACTATTACACTAGTAACTCCTACATTTCTAAAATAACGAAGTCATACAGAACCTAACAAAACAAAAAAAAGCAAGACTTGAGACCATTTTCTTCATGGACTTGAGACAACTAAGAAGCATAGCAGAGGAGGTTACATGTTGGGTAAGGATGTCTAAGGAGTTACGAGCGACAAAAACAGTCCTAAAAATTCAAACACAGCTTCTGTACACTACCTCAACAAGGTATATAAGCCTGCACAGAGGAAGTTTCCTACTATAGTGAAAATAGAAAAAACTAAAAACACTCCTGGAACTGAAAAATCTCCAAATACATTCTTTAATAACGGTAACATGCTAAAACATCCTCCCCTGAAAAACATGTTGTCAACCTTATAGTAATGCTCAAAGATGAAAAAAGAAACTTGATCAGAATTCACATTCTACCTTTCCAGAAGTCTTTATTGTAACATTGAAATGTTTTGCATTCATTCATTACCTTTTAGGTGGGTTCTGCTTTATTGAGTGCCATTAGCCTTAGAAGAACAATTTTGTGCTTTGCCTTGCAATTCCCCACTGCTTTGGTATTTTGTTGAACTGTTAGTAAAATTAGTGGCTCTACTAGTCATTCTACTATCTTTAAATTTGTTTAATACTTAAAAATAATTAAGTCCTTTTTTAAAAGCTTTCCTAAGATAAGGAGGTCAGGGTTGTTGCATTTAACACCAGCCAGCCTTCTATTAAAAAGCCTTCTTCCATTTCTTACTGCCTAAATTCTCAGAACATTGAGGAAAGTTATCCTGTCAATACAAGCCTCAGAAAAGAAACCCCAAACCAACCCCCAAAGAAACAAACAAACAAAAAAAAACAAACCCACTTTCCACGTCACTTATAGAACTTTCAGCAGAAAGAAGTACCATGATCTTTACAAAAGAAAAGTAGAACTACTAAAAGCTCCAGGAGAAAGAATCCTGTGTCTTCATGGGTGTTGCAAGTGTCACTGCCACACGTGGCTGTATTTAAAGAATAAAGCTCACGATTAAGTACTTCTCACAGGAAAGTACTTAATTGTGCACCCCCTTCTGGTGGCTGAATAAGAAAAATCATGCTTGTCAAATTATTTGAGACTTTATTGAAAGCTCCAAATTGACTGGAGGAAGCCTCAGCAATTAATAAGAGCCAGACATACTAAAAGACCTACATGTGAATGAAAAAAAATTCAGTGCAGATTCCTTATTGCTGCATAATGAAATACCCTGTTTACACTGTCGATGTAAGACTTCAGTATAACATGTAACTAAAGCACCTATATAAACATTTATTGGAATTCTTGATGTTGAAAAGTAAGTATAGAAGATGAATAATAAGTCTATCACACTTTGAGAAGCAAAGTAGAAGACAGGGTAGAAAATGGAAATTCCTTCTTTGTACTCCCAACTCCAAAGCAAAGTTATAAACTGATGTACCCAAGTGAATGATGAGCCGTTACAGCCTGATTCCAGCTGCACGGAATTCATGCTCAGGCTTTACCTTCTTCCTCCTTAGTTTCCTCTAGCCCTTCACAGGCCTCACTCCCCTTCTACCCAAGTCTCCCTCCAAGTTCTACCTCTACCCAGTATCCTACTTCTTTCAATCCAGTATCCCCAGCTTTAACTGAAATTCCTTTCCAATTGAGCCCTGCCCTCCAAACTCCCCATAACAGCCAGCCCTATCCTTCAGACTTAATCCTCAGACTTAACTATACCTGCTACTCAGTTCTTCCTGCTCCACTTCCAGCCAGCTATTGCTATTTTCCCCATACCCAAATCCTGATGAGGTCCCCAACACCCTGTGTGGCTTCATCTGCAGTAGCTCAATTTAATCTCTTGTAGAATTAAAAAATTAAATAATAATAAAAAAAATCTATAAGGCAACACTTATCAGAAATCTGTCCCTCTATCCCAACAGAATATTGTTAAAAACAGATCATGTTCTGATAGAAATTAATATACAGGAGTCTTATTTTTCAGAACAGATCAGGCTTTCATAGCTCAAAGATATGTTAGAATATCTGTCAGTAGAGAGCAAAAGCCAGACTCCATTAATGACTTAGTTGCGTTTTTCCCTTTTTTAAATAGTATTTCTGAAACAAAGGCAGTGTAAGATACTTATTTACTGCCAACCTATACATCATTGATATTCATCTCTTCAGATGGCAGTCACCCACCCACAGTGATTCTGCTCCTCACAGCCTAGTCCTGTAAGTTGATCCTCTGAAGAAAAAACAAAAGGTACAGGGTACAGTAAGGCGTGCATAGTGAGTACTCCGCAGAAGCCTGCTACAGCCTTGTAAGTACTAGTATCGGTAGCTGAAAGACAGGTATAGGCCCAGTAAAGAAAAAAGCATTTTTCCCCTGTACATAGCTTAAGATGATGAGATTTTTTTTCACAGGTTGAATACAACAAAACTAGGCGGTGTAAGTAATGCAGGTTGCTAGGGAACTGGACAACTCCCAGATTGTGTAGAAAAACCAGTACGTTTTCTTAAAGCAACGGCTATAGAAGTACATCCACACAGCAAGTGTAGCTAATATACCATGATCCTGAATGCAGACATCTGTCAATGATTTCTGTCATGAGCAGAGAGCTCTGGAAAATCCTTAAGAAACACTAAGGCAGAAAATTCTGCAGGATGTAACTAACAAAATGAGCAAGTGTTTAGTCCAAGAACAAACAAAACAGTAGATGAAGGCAGAGTAGTCTTATAGCCAAAACATGTGGCTGAAAGAGAGCAGTAGAAATTAACACCCAAGGACAAACAGCAACTTCCAAAAAGAAGCTGCTTGCACACGCATCTTAAATTATAATTTTAAATTATTTTCCTTCTTGTGCACATATACTGTTTCTGCAACTATTATAGACAGAACCCTGGCATCAGTGTCTTAGTAGCCTTTCAATGAAAAAAGCCTAGAATTAAAAAAAAGCAGAAAAACAAAATAATCTCCATTTATAAAGCAACATGCCCATGTAATTTTTTTCCTCACCATCCACCCACTTCTAAACTTCTCCAAGCTTGGTCTATCAAGTGACCAGAGAGACTAAAGCAGTGTGGTCTCAAAGGAAGCAAAAAGCAAAAATCATCTTAACTGGACTGTTAGGCTCACATTCAGCTTAAAATTGTCTCCTACACAGCACTAAGGCTGCTATACAATGAACAAGTGCAGTAGCTTCAAAATTTAAGCCTCCACAGAACTAATGCTTTTGGCAACAACAGCACTAAATTCTGTGTTCTAAGTTTTGAAGATGGCTCCATTGTAAAGGAAGTTAGAAGTCTGTTCTTCCCCAGCAGCCTCCTCTGCAAAAGGACTTACTTTGATAGATTTTGGCTGATTTTCCAGACGGAATTCTCTTGATAGACCTGGACATGATCCCCAAACAGCATCAAATGGACTATATCTGCAATGCCAACCAAGTCTACCTGCAATCACAACAAACATTAGAAAGTTCAACTTCTGTCTAGTTTTGCAATCCACTACAGATTTCTACTGTTGGTGTTTTTACACATTTAAGTCTGACTTAATCTTTGCATCAGAATCTTCCAGAGACCTGCTAAGCAAGAAAACTTCAAAAACTAAAATTCTGGTGTTATTGTATGTTCCTAAATAAATACAATAGTCACAGGCACTGTGACTCCAACAGCAACTCCAACAGCACTGTTAGTGCCTTTGCTTAATGCCAAAGGTGAAAAGTCTTCTTTATTCAGTATTTATTGATCAGAGCTTTCAACAGAGTTTGCAAAACATAACTTAAGAAAATAGAGATTTTGTAAAGGAAACACAGCAACTAAGATGTCCTGCTAAATAGAGACTCACCTGATAAGGAAGAGAACTTTTTGCCAGAAGCTGTTGTCCATGAGGGGTCTGGGATATGGGAAAGCTGTTAGGCAAGCTTACTTGAGACTGTAATCTCAAATCTAGACTATGAGAGAAATCCACTATCTTCAGAGCTCTTGTCATCTCATCGTTAGCAAATGGATCACAGATCCTGAGCAGAGGAAGCAAATTAAGCATAAGACTATCCATCAAACTTTTTTTTTTTTAATTAAATTTAACAGCATAGTGAAGCTGAGTCTTAGCTATGTCAATGCTCCCCTCTGAGGGTTAGCTTAAGAACTACGGCTGAAAGGACTACCCCTGGCTGGGGGACCAGCTGGCAGCCTGAAACTTGGGAGATGATACTGGTATCTCCAGAGGAAGCAATGGGTTAACCCACTAAAGGGTTAAGGAGGATGATGTTTTGATATTTGTCACAGTTATCTGTAACACAGTTGGTGGAACAAGAAAATAGCATAATATTTAGCACTTCTGCCCCTCCTTCAAGATCTCAGAATACTTTATACATAAAGAACGAATCTTCATAATACTTAAATAAAGCTTTCCTAGTCTACACTAGGGAGGACAAACAGAAAGGGCAGTGAGGAGTATCTGTATAGATGATAGTGTACTGCCAAGCCAACAGTATAAAGAGATCACACTTCTCACTACTATTCTTCTCACCTACCTGTATGCTATGAGCATACATTTTGTAATTTATACTAGGCACTTATCCTAGGATACTTTTTGCTATCAAAAAAAACCCAAAAATCATTATCCTAACTTTTTGGCGGTTTAGTTTGGTTTGTATTTGCCTCAGAGAGATCCAGCAGGAGATATCCAACTCCATCAAGCCACCATTAGATCAGTGACTTTCAAAATAGGATGCTTGCACCCTAAGGAGTGACCAAGACAATCCATTGGGGTGTGTGAAGAAAATATTAGAACTTCAGTAGTACATGTATGTAACTTATAAATAAATCATATAAAGAAATTATAAATAAAATATATTGGGGGTGTGCATGGTAGATGACTGTAGATTCAAAATAAATTTGAAATTAATAGCTATTTTTAACATATCAGTGAAGATTAAGAACAGCCTCAGTCAATTTCTTCTAAGGGAATTATATCTGAATCATTAGACTTTCCAAAGTTATTATCTTCCCACCCTTAGTTCACAGATCACATTCCAAGGGATATGTGACTTTGTTCACAGAATCAGAATCACAGAATCACTAG